CTCATCGCTCCTGCGAGACCATGCTGCCCCGCCGGCGGGTGACGGCCCCCGGGCGCCCGTGCAAGCCCTCCAACACCTTTGTGCACGCACCTGCTGAGGAGCTGGTGGCTGCCTGCAGCCAGGCACCCGATGAAGGGGGGTTCCACAGCACTCCCACAGCCATGACCCTCACAGCCTGCCGCGTGCGGGGTGGCAGCACCCGCCCCCCGTGTGCCTACCGGGCCAAGCAGGTCCAGCACCACGTGCGTGTCACCTGCCTTAACGGGCTGCCCGTGCACCTGGCTGGCACCTACCCACCCCCTCAGTGAGGCTGGGCATGGATGTGGATTCTTCCTCCCAGTGGGGTTTCCAGTATAATCTGCAATAAAGGAGGTGCCGAAGGCCTGGGCTCCAGCATCAGCTTCTGGGGGGACCCTGCGATCCTACCCCTCTCTGGGTATTCCTGAGGTCCCTTGGGTGCCTCCAACCCTGTCCATGGTGGACCTGGCCTCTCATATGCCTCATAAACCCCTGCGTTTTCCCAACCTGCTGGGTGTCCCATAGCCCTCCAGGATGCATCTGACCTCTCCTGTGCCCCATAGCCTCCCCCTATGTTCCTTGACCCTCCTTCTTCCTAGGTGCTGGATAACTGCCCTGGTTGCCCCATAGCAATCACTCCCTCCCCCCCCAAGATTCCTCTGATCTCCTGGATGTGCACCCAACTCTCTGCCCCCTGTATCCTGGCCCTTGGGGTGTCACATTGCTTTCCCAGATGCCCAAGTCTCCTAACCTGCCTCAGAACTCTCTGGGTACCCCCAGCTTCCCCCATGTCCGCCCCACAAACCTTCACGTGCCCCACATTGCCCTCTTCCACATACCTCTGACACCATCTGGAGCCTCTCTGGGTCTGAGGCCACTCTTGGACCCCCTTGGTACCCTTGTGGGATGCACACATGCTGCATCCATATGAATATGCAAACCAGTATTTTCTTGGGTTTGGGTGGGATTTCAGGTGCTTCAGCTTGTGTTCATCACCTCTTGTCCTGTCACTGGGCTCCACTAAGAAGATCACATGGCTTCCTTGTCTTCATTCCTCCCCATCAGTACTTCTCAGTAAACTGATAAGCTCCCCCAGCCTTCTCCAGGCTGAACAATCCCAGGTCTGTCAGCCTTTCCTCCTGTCAGAGATGCTCCAGTCCCTTCATAATCATCAGCCCTTTGCTAGACTCTCTCCAGTATGCCCATGTCTCTCGTACAGGGGACTCCATCACTGGATCTAGCATTCCAGGTGTATCTCAGGTACTGCTGAGCAGAGGAACTGGGCTGCCTCCCTCGACCTGCTGACAACTCTCTGCCTAGTGCAGCCCAGCAGGCTGGTTCTCCTCTTTGCTTTGGTCCTATTGTCCAGGGAATCCTGAGGACTCCAATGGAAGTGCTGATGTCCAGGTGCTGTGCTGCTCCAAAAAGATAGCCCAAATGCACTCAGAAACTAGCTGAGGAGGAAAAGAAGCAAAGCAAATGGTCTTTCAGATCCTTTTCAGTTGCTCTCTGTCCAAGATGTCTCTTCCTCATGTGCCTTGAATAACTCAGGCACTTCTTTTCTGGAATTCAGCAGAAAGGCACTTGGAGGGCCCTCCATGAGCTGGTGTGCTCCAGCTCTAAGCCCTGTCCCAGGAGAACTCTACTGCCTGTGTATGGGAGAGGAACTGGGTTATTTCAAGGACATTTGGGGCATTTCTGGCCTGGCAACTTCCAGCAGATTCACTTCTCCACCCTGCTCACTCCCAGTGATGGGAGGAGCTAGGTGGCTTGACACTCCTCAGGAGGAAATACCTGGGATGTCTGCTCTGTTTTTTTCTACCTGGGTTCTTCAAGGCTTGGAGGACTCCAGTCCCTCCATCTGTTCTCTGGCAATTCAAATAGTCGTGACAGTGAGAGAAAAACCCCACCACTGTGATTTACCCTATGAGTCTTGCACTACAGGTTCTGAAGAATGTAGAAGAGTTGGCAACCATCTTGGCAAGACAGCTCTGAGCAGCAGTCCCAGGGCAGCAATGCCAGTTCTGGGATGCTCTGTATGCTGGGGCTACTGAGTGTGCTAGAAAGTCTGGGTTGTTCCTGGTATTTCCCCTTTATCTGCAGAGCAAGTCCACCCCTCCCTCCAGCACATCCCATCCTATTACTGCATCTGGCTTTTTCTTTAAAATAACCTTTTTTTTTTTCTTGCTTTCAGTGCATGTCTTTCACTTTGCGGTGTGTACTGGGGCAGATCAGTATAGGCTGCATTACAACAGGCAACCAAACCTGTCCCCAAAACAGCACTGAATTCCACCAAGAAAGCAACTATAAACTTTCTGGATGCCAGTCCAAAACTAGTACCTGAGTCATATCTGCTGGACTTTCATACCCAGAGTTTACTCTGACAGGGGTCAGCCTGCTCTTCTCACCTGCTGTATAACCAAACAACTAATGCCTTAGCCAGGAACCACTTGTTGAGTCCATGACAGTGAAGCAAAGAAAAGTGCTCTCTCGTGCTTCACTGTGGCCCACATGCTCACTCTAAGAGCAGCATCTGATGGTGTAAAATGAGAGGCACGAGCAGTGTGTGAACAGTTCCAGTGCTACAGTGGAAATTCATTTCTGCTTCTTGAAAAGTAATGGCATTTTTGCAGAACCATAGCAGAAAGTTGCTTAAACAGGCAATGCAAAGGCCCTCAAAAATATTTACTCAGCAAAGTCAATACTGGGCTCCATGGATTTGGCAGAATGAGCCCTGTGAAACCAGGCTGTTGCTGCACGTTGTACATGCCAACATTGACATGGAAAAAGCTTCTCTCTAGTGCTATCACTTGTGCTTAAAACCTACCCTGCACAAATACAGAGAAATGCAGCTGGTTTCTCTGCAACATGTGCTCTAATGATTTTTTCCATGGTATTTTTGTCCCCCACCTCCTTATAAGCAAATAGCCCATCCAAATAATGGGCTAAGCTTTCCAACATCACAGTAACTTGAAAAGCTCAAGGAAGCAGAGGAACATTCATAAAGGTCAGGTGATATACTTTTAACATTAAACATTATTTGTTGTGTTTTTTTTTAATGGGCACAGGTCTTCTTGTAATTTAGGTACCAGTCCCTCTGTTAATTGCACAAATGACTAATTTTGAAGTGTTCATCAAAGGGAAAACCCTTACTTCTACCCCTTTCTTCCAGAAGGAAATTCCTATTTGCATCCACACTGTTCATATGCTTAAACGGAAAGGCACATATCAACTGAGTTTAGAACAAGAATCCATGAACTTTCTGTTTTAATTTGTCTGGTTTTTCTTATCTGTGTCTCACAAAGAAGAGTCATGTCCTATAGACTGATTTTCTTGGGTTTTGTGGGGTTTTTTGTCATGTTTTAACATGAAATACTGCTGGTGGCATTATGAAACAATAGCAACTGGCTCCACATCACCCTAAAGATCACTCTTCAAGTCACCCTTCCAGTCTGGCCCAAAAGAGCACCTTTTGATTTCCAGTATGGCACATATTTGAGTGAATGTGCAGTTTTAACAGTTTAACTGCTATTACTGATTTCTACCATTACAAGTATGTCTCAGGTATCTCTGTGAGTTGTTTTTTCTTCTTCTTCTTTTTCTTTATTGTCTTGATGAATAATTTTTTTGAGGGAATAGAGCTATTCCTTTATCTCTAATAAATGAAAAGGCCCTGTAGTGGTCTGAGTGGCAGGGCTGAGATTCTCACCCTCCCTCATCTCTGGGAAGTGCCAGAACCCATCCTTTCCTTTCTGTCACCAGGAGTTTGAACACTGGGATATCCCCAATGCTACCTCATAATAAATGAGGCCAGAGCTAGGGAAAAGCAACAGCTTTTTGTGAAGGACTGAGCTGAGAGGCAGCAAAGAGAAGGAACCAAGCCTCTGGGAGCATCTGGGGATTTTGCTCCAAGGTGCATACCAGTGTGGCACACAGGGCAGCTCAGAGGCTCTTATCTCCACAGCTCACTCTTGTTGCCTTCAAAGTATGTGGTAATGGCCCAGGCGACTGGCAAAGCAAATAACCAACCCAAACTTTTTCCACCTATGCACAAACCTGGGGACACAGCCACTTCAAGGAGCCAGCACTGAATGCAAAAAAAGCATGCTCTTTTCCCTGCACATACCTCTGTTTCCTTGGCTCTGCTCTGGTTTTCTGAGGCCCTGCCATGTATAAAGAGGAGCCAGATTAGTCCTTTCTTCAGGCATCAGAGGCAGCTGAAGAAGCGAGGTGCTCGATGCTCTGGGCAGACTTGCTTGTCCTTCTGCCTGCAGCCCCACACCACCTGGCAGCTTTCCCCTTCGCTGCTCTCTTCCACCACCTCTGTGCCTCGGGGCGCCTCACTCCAACTGCCCGGTATGTAGTTGCCACCTCTGCTCCCCTTGAGGGAAGTCACACCTCTGTATGCTTTCTGGGGGCTCTTCTGGTCCAAGGTGCAGTGGGATGCACAGTAGGAAGTCCCCACTGAATTGGGTAGGAACATACGTATGGTTTGGATGGGTCCAGATCAAGGTCATTAAGGAGAAAAGACCCTGGCTGGACACTAGTGTTGTGAGAGATGGGCTTGGGGGTTTAGCAGGATGAGCACACAGGCAAGGGGAAGAGGGCAGGGAATGGGGACTGTCTCTGGCGTGATTAGGATGCGGGCAGGGCAGGGCCAGCAATATCTGTCCCCATCCACCCTCTGTTCCCTCTTAAGCCACAGTGGCCCTGGAGTTCTTTCAGCCCCACAGAAGGCTAAGAGTCACAGTACAGAGGGCCTGTGGAGACTGCAGAACCCAGACTAAGCTCCACTATCAACACTGTAGTGGGAGTTTCAAGCCTGCTTTTCTCCAAAAGGCAGCCAAGGGGGCATCTGGTCTTTTCTAGGTACATATTCCTCCTTGCTGGAGGATGTCTCCTTGCTGGCACAGCCTTGGGCAGCTACGCTGTTTTGCTCCTTATCCCTGCTGCTGGCTCCGTGCTAGTCCTCCTCTCCGTCAGCCCAGCACGTGTCCACACCTCGGTCTTCACCCTCCAGATGTCCTGGCAGACACTCTGCCACCTGGGTCTGGGCAGCCAGGAGCTGGACCCACAGGATGCCAGGTAATACGCTGGCTCTGCCTCCTTCCTGCTCCTCCCCTCAGTGGAGGGGACTGGTCATTTTGTGAGGGTGGAGGGCCCTCTGGACTAACCTGGCTCGCTGTCCCACAGCCATCAGGCTCCACTCAGGCTCCAGCCACATCCCTGTGCCTGGGTGGTGCTGTGGGCTGTGCTCTGGGCACATGCGACAGCACATACTCTGTGTGGGGGGCATAAAATACCCAGTGGGGGGGGACAGCCCGTACTTTGTGCCTCCTATGCGCCCTGTCAGCAGCTCTCAGGTGCCCTCTCCTTCCAGGCCAGCTGTTGCCCTCTCTGCTCTCATGCTGCTCACCCAGAAGGCTACGTCTCTTGCCCTGGACATCCATGAAGGAGTTGTGCAGCTCCAGCGGGGCCAGGGGCTTCTGCGGCAGGCACTGCCCCTCTGCAGCTACCTCCTCTTCTTCCCAGCCCTGCTCGGAGGTCCCCTCTGCTCCTTCGGCAGGTTTCGGGCGCAGGCCGAGTCCCGGGGGGCTGCCCCCCGCCCGCTGCGGGCGGCCGGCCCGCGCTGCCTG